GGGGGGGGGGGGGGGGGGGGGGAACACGTGCTCAGGCTGGGAACCGGGCCCACCGTCCCATATAGAATTATGCAAATGATTTGAAATACCAGGGCCATTACCTGGCTTCGGCTAAGAACAATCTGAGAACTATGAAAAAGGATTCTAGAAACTTCAGGAAAAACATGGATAATGCCCATCTTGATAGCCAAAATATTCTTCTTCAACCTCCTACCCAACCTCCATTCGTCTTTAAAAAAAGAGGTGTCTTGACGTTAACCTGTGGATAATCGTTGGGTTTGAACACGGGACTGGTTATTCTGAGAGAACTTAGAGAAGGGGTATTTTTGGATTTAATACTTGTTTAGGCGGAGGCTATGATTTGAACATGGGACTGGTGGGGTATTAAGGGGTTTTAGTTTTTTGACGCGTACAGGAAGTCCAACCCCCTTTTTTGTGGGATTTGAGCCGTGGACTGATGCCTTGCCTTGAATGCCGGTTCGGTTTAGGACTACTTTTTCCAAAATAGGCTGCGGGGTTTGATCACGGCGTCTGTCGAGTGTTTAGACCTTAGTGCCACTAGGCTGTTTCCCCCCCTTTTTTTGAACCTTTTCCGATTTGAACTTTCGATTTGTCTTTGATACTGCACGGCTGTTGGGTATGGGCCGGCTGACTAGGTAAAGGTGGTTTCTCTCAGGTGTCTTACTAAGTATATTTAGCTTTTTAGACTAGTGTCCACTATGTGACTTTAGACCCCTGATCAGACCTGGTTGGCGGCCAGGCGAAACCGGTCGGGTCGTAACGCCGGTCGGAAGCTTCTGTTTCCGATGTGCTTCATCGCTTATTCTTTTGAAACAAGTCGCGTTCGGGGCACTCATCTTCTTGTGTGCCTTCTTCTTCTCCCCCCTCTCTCGTCAGTCTGTCTGTCTGGTGTATTGAGGATCATCTTCAGCAATTGCTCTGTACTGTCGCCTTGACATGCAACCTCCACATCCCTGGAAGTCACCTCCCTCACCTCAAGCTCCCTCGCTGCTCCGCTTCTCACCATCTGGGTGGAGCTGCATGACGATTGCGGGAAAAGTGAGCAGCTAAACCAACACAGCAAATGATACATTGGCTGGACTGGTGGGTCCTACAGCCACGCTCTTCCTTTACCAAAGGCTCTAGCCCCTACCCACGGTGCCTCCAGGCGAACCAGCACTCTAACAAGGCAAGAAAATGATTGCAGACCTAATCTCTCTTGGAACCGGCCAAACCTTTTTCCTTCTTTTTTTGAAGGGCAACAGCCTTGAGATATCATCACTGAACTGACCGGCCGTGGGTAATTCAGAATTACAATATTTCACTCATCTAACTCCAGTGGAGTTCGAACTCAGGTCTGTACTTCAACAATTCAGTTCAGGGGTGTAACCAACTGAGAGAGACCAGTTCGTAGAACCGCCCATACCTAACCTCACACCAGTCTGCATTACATCCGCTCCCGCCGGTATAAAGACTTCTTCTAAGTCTACCGGACACAGGGCCTCTCCAAGTTGCTTGAAAATCCCTATTGGGTCCCTGCAATTTGACCGTTATGTCCCTGTCCGTCGTACTCTTGTCTATACATCTGTGCCCTAGGCCAAGTTTCAGTCATACCCCTCGAGGCCTTACAAATTGCAGACATATCCCCCCCCGACGGAGCTCAAATCCATTTACAGCCCTCAGTGAAGCATCCCGGGCCAGAAACGACGTGAAATTTCTGAAATCTAGAAATTTGCCCCCACTAGAATCTATGTACCTACCGTTGTACCCAAGTCACCTCGCTACCCCTACAAGCTCAGCATTTTCACGTAAGTCCTCCCAGGCCCGGATCAAAGCACAAACTCGTTACTACAGAAAACACTTAGCCACAACCCATCCATAACTTAGCAGAATAGACATCGTTTCACATTCTCAAGGAAATCTCAGAAATCTCAGGTCGAACCCAGGTAAGACTCTGAGTCTCAGCAAATGCACGAATCTCCTCAGCAAGATTCAGATTATTTCTTGGACTGAAAACTGTGTGGATCTCTCTCTCTCTCCCACTCTCTCTCTCTCTCTCTCTCTCTCTCTCTCTCTCTCTCTCTCTCTCTCTCTCTCTCTCTCTCTCTCTCTCTCTCTCTNTCTCTCTCTCTCTCTCTCTCTCTCTCTCTCTCTCTCTCTCTCTCTCTCTCTCTCTCTCTCTCTCTCTCTCTCTCTCTCTCTCTCTCTCCATAGATTACGAGAATCGACGACCAAGAAACACAGAATCCGGGTAAGTGGGGGACCATTGTCCATGACGGATAGATCTAGCCGTTGGAAAATCGACAGACAGCGACGCAAGTGGGACCAAGTCCACTATTTTTTTTTTCTTCACTGCGCAATAAAAGCGCACAGCCGGTGGACATCCCATCACCCGTGGGGAATGGTAGGTCTCAGCACAAGCAGCTGACTTCCAATGTCAGAGAAGACTGTCTACTCTGGAAATTGGTGTTGGCTGACATGATCCTCAACATCGAATGCAAACGCCGATGATATGCAAGCTCTGACATCTGCTACTTCCACAACTCACAGACAGGTAGAGAATTTGTTCTTCCTTGGACTTGGAACAAACGCATGAACTGTTGAAATGCAGGCCTGAGTTCCAATTCCACTGGAATCAAATGAGTGAAAATAACTTCGAAATTACCTGGGGCCAGTCAGTTCAAAGATGGTATCTCCAAGGCCGTCCCATTGCCCTTGGCCAAAAAAAAACTTCCTTTAGCAAAAAAATACAAAAAAGAATTGGAACAAAGTTCACAAACCCATCCATGTCTGAGACAACCGAGTTGTCCCAGAAAAAGAAAAGACAAGGACAAACCTATATATATAGTATATACCATATTATACCCCCATAACCCTTGAGTGAGTCCTACTCCCAGGAACCTGCCCATGGATGGTTGAAAGGACCAGTCCACCCCATCTACGGGCAGACTCGCACTGACACGCCATGCTCTGCCAAACTGCCAGCGGCGCACTCCTTTTCTTTTTTGGCTGGCAAAGCAAAACTGTTAGTCCGGTAGGCTGTAGCGCTGAGCCTCCAAAGTTTGCGGAGAGAAACATTTGTTGTCTCACGTTGCCTGCGGCTGTGTACTACCGGTTTAAACCACAAGTACACGTCCCCAGCCTTGCAGTCCGAAACTTGTCGCCACAAAAAAACGAGCGAGGCCGAAACGTCAAACGCTGGGCCTGGCGTCGATAAAAAAAAGATTGGATCAGTGGTCGCGTTTTCATTTCGCACTGCCAGAATTCGAGGTGTCAGCCCCGCGGCCCAGGTGCCCGTCTACTGCCGGTTTCAGACCGCACCAGCCTATTTCAGTCATGCTTTCAAAAGACCGCTCAACGGAGGGGAAGCAAGGATTACACCACAGGTAGATAGAGATAGAACATAAAACCGGAGAGATGCAGAGGTGGTCCCCAGGCATGGGGATAAGTGGGGTCAAATTTTTTATTTATTTTGTTTGGCAATGTTTTTTTTTTTTTTTTTGTTCCACGCATGGCCATCCAGAGGAGGCCAAATCCGTACCGTTTCCTTTATTTAAGTGTTGATCGTCAAGGGGGAGGAATGGGGAAATAAAGGGGCTAAGGAAGGGGGTTAAGGGGGGTACCTTGGTCTAATTCTGTTATTTTCTTTTTTTTTTAATCTTTGGTGACTTCGGTCTCATGAGACATTCCGATGTGACCCTCAGCAAAAGTCGTTTGCATTGCAATTCTACACAGGGCTTGCCAGGACAAACGTGCTGCTGGATGTTAGTATGTTACACATCTACAACTCTTAATCCTCATGCAAAGTAAGAGTTCAAATATTGCCAAATTTCGTGAAGGTAGTGGTTTAGGTGGGGCGGAAAATACTGAGAGCAAGTGACACAGAGAGTTATAGGGTGGGTGAGAGAGTGAGAGTGAGGGAAGGAGAACAGGATGGAGGGGAACACAGAGGCAAGACACACGCCTCCGTTGGAGCGTCATCTGTGTGTGTGTGTGTGTGTGTGTGTGTCTTGCCTGTGTGTGTGTGTGTGTGTCTTGCCTCTGACTCGGAGGGGAACATAGAGGCAAGACACACGGAGGCTTTCTAAAGTCATGTCGAGTTTGGAGCATCATCAGAGAGGCTTGTGCGGTCTAATGCAATGAAAAAATCGAGTTTTCCTGGTAATCTTCATCTCTCCACCAGCACCTGCACTGAGCAAAGTGCTGACTAGCATAACAGCGCTTCTAAACCTCAGAAAGCCCTAAACCCTAAACCTCCCACTCTTAGATTTCAACGCACACAAGACCCGTCTCAAAAGAACCCTGGACAAATCGGAAAGAATTTCAGGCCTCGAACCCCAGAAATCTATTCTGCATCCTGTATTGCACTCCCAGATGCTAGCGCACAAAAGGAGGACTGAACAGCAGCTGCATAATCCCAGATGCTAAAAAAAAAGATGCCAGAGCACAAAAAATGATAGAGCACAAACAGTCCCAATAACAATGTAGCTTCATCTGTTCTCATTCTCACATTCCGCCGGCGCATTGCATTTATAAAATTGTGGGAAGACAATCAGTTCAAATACAGTAACGTGAGAACTTCTAAAAATAACATGAGAAATTCTAAAAATAACATGAGAAATTCTAAAAATAACATGAGAAATTCTACAAACAACATGAGAAATGCTAAAAATAACATGAGAAATGCTAAAGAATAAGTAATGACAGATGATTTTGAAGCACTCACAGATCACTATTTCTCTATAGAATGAATTCCAAGTAGGCCTTCAATAAGAACGTTAAGAGGCCCCGAAAACATGTTTCCACAGCAGCCTCCAATGTGCACTAGCTGCCCAAGCGCAACACACACACACACACACACACACACACACTTACTTCTCCCAACTAAGTTAGCGGCCGATTGTGCGCGCACAGAGATCAATCTCCATCACCCTTTGGGTCAATCGGAATTAGGAAGTGCATGGGGGCCACTGAGTGACGCTTGGTGGGGCCTCCCTTGGAGCTCACTCTTTTATTCATTGACAGCAGCTCCATAAGATGGTAAAAAAGCACGTAACACAGAATAAAATACAGAATGGGACGCAAGCAAAGCTCTGGACAACTCTTCCTTGTGGCGCTTCAGGTTCAAGCACACATTTCACTAGAGTTAAGCAAGTGTGTTGAACCAAGGAGAGAAAGTTACACTGTACAGGTGTTCTCACTTAATCACATGTAGCGCTTCTCGCCCAGCCGCCCGCTGCGATTTGCGCCTTTTCTTTCCATCTGGTGTTTGCTTTGAAACTGCTGCATCTTGTTGCATCCTCTGTCCTACCTTTGCTGCATTCCTTGCTTCCCTTCTGCCAGGGGACCTGGGTGTATTTTCCACATCTCTTTGCGGTGACGAAGTTGGGCCCGCCTGTCTCTTCCTCTCCCTGTTCACGTATTCTTCAAGCTTCCGTGCTCCTCCCGCTGCCACTCTCCCTAACCGTGCCCATTCCGGTGTAGATGGGGACGCCGCTGCTGCACGAGTGAGGTGTGTTCTAATCGGAACAGCAACTCGCCGCACTGAGTTGATGTCTCCACAGGGCAATCTGCTTCTCGAAACCGTTGTGGACGGTTCAGGGGTCCTTGCCTTCTTTTGTCGCTTTGTACCTTGTTGCACCGGGGTGGTTGGCCCATGGCGCTCTTGAGTCAAACAGCCATCCAACACCTCTGGTTCCACAGGTGTCACACCAGGGCCCTCTGCCACCCCAGCGCGAGCGGGCTGCCGAGCGGCATTGCGAGCTGACTTGGTTGCGTGAGACGCCGTGGTGGGTTGTCGGAATGGCCCCTGCGTTGGCCGAGACGCAGCATCCTTTCCTTTTGAACAAGGAATGGATTTGCCAGCGGCAGCGGCAGTTGGAGATAAGGCTTGACGGCGGAGCATTTCCTGGTGCGGCTTTCGCGTGTTGAGGAGTCTGACGCTGAAGGTGTTGGAAGCGGTGAAGCAGAACGGAAGACTGTTGCCCTCCAGTTCCAGCTTGATGTTGCCATTATTTACAAGCTGAAGCATGGCTGCAAAAGACCTAGAGACGTCATACTTTTTAAAACCGGATACCAGGTTCGAGAACGATGACTTTTTCCCGTTGCTCTTTTGCTGAGAGGCGGCAATACCTTGCGTCGCTGTGGCGACTTCCAGGCGATCCAGAAGTCTCTCACCGTAAGCATGGATGTCGAATTCAGGGCGTGCATCTTGAACCTCCAGTGCAGGCTCTATCTTCGTCTTCCACTCTGCCACACGCGCAGCGAGCTCGGACTGCACTTCTGCAGCTGCTGCACTTTTCAGCATCTCATCGATCTGAGCACGACAGAGATCTTCATACAAGTTCTGGCAATCTGCATTCTCTCCTAACCCATCAAACACCATTCCCTCGGTGCCATCTGCATTCTTTCCACTGCCAGAGGCTCCTGGATTGCCTTCTTTCTGTCCTTCCACATCTCCATTGCCCATTTCACAGTCTGATATTCCTCCTCCGTAATCGCCGTCCAGGTGCTCATTACAGTCCCATCCATTGCCAACATCATTATCCTCAGCAGCAGCAGCAGCAGCAGCAGCAAAGACACCAACTGGGTCATGCTGCGGATCCTCAAAGGCATTTGGTGCCGCAGACCGACTCCTCCCATGTCGAGAAGAATCACCCTTCTTGTCCCTGCTCTGCAAGAGCTTTATTTTATGCAAGACCCCCAAGAAGTCCTGGTAAAGAGGAGAATTTGGCGAAGCCAAAGGAAAAGGCTCCTTCTTGAGAGCGCCTCCAGCCCCTTTTGGACGTCGCGGCTCCGTCATTCTTTTCCATCGACTTCCTCTTTCCCACGTCTTTATAGGTTTCTGCAGGGATGGGTCACCCGGATCGTACGGATCCAGGGCTTCCCATGGATCTTCAAACTCCTCCTCCTCCTCCTCTTCTTCTTCTTCCTCCGGGCCATTGCGCTCGGCCTCTTGTTGTCGACATCTATTTGGCGTTGGCAATTCTGCAGGGTTTCCCGACTGACAAGCTCTATTATCATAACCAAAATCCTCACATTGCATAGGGCTGCTTCCTCCAAAATCCATGTCATTGAGACCCGCCACATCATCAGCATCACAATTACCATCGACAGGAGCCTCCTCGCGCCCAGCAGCAGCAGCCGGCCCAGGATGCTGCTCCATTGGAACATCCCCGTGCAAGCCGTCAGTTTTGGAAGACGCCCTCTGCGCTCTGTCCGGGCTGACAGCTTTGCCGCCGCCATCTGTGCCTGCGCGTGCTGCCGAAGCATCGGTTATGGGACACAGATCGACACCGAGATGATCTCCATCTCTCAGATGCAGCAGCAATGCCCCCGAGCGGTGCATACCACAAGCTTTGGTCTTGTACGATGCAATTTCTGCAGAGAACACTCCTGTCCCATTGGCCCCGGGCTGGACGTCTTCCTCGATAGCTAGCAGAATCTCAGGCATGCGACCCGAAGCAGCAGCTGCCGATCTGCTGGTTTCCATCTGATCATCCAAGGACGTGCCCAGGTTGATGTCTTTGCTGGCAGCCATGTCAAGCTCTCCAGAAGACATGAACATTGCAAAGTCCTCCTCTTCACCACCACCACCATCTCTGCTCTCCCCGCGCTTGGGACGACGCTCGTCCGCTCCGTTTCCGCCATCTTCCTGACCTTCACCCTCTTCCTCACTTCGCCGCTGGAACAGGGCCAAGGCCTGAAACACTAAGGCATGCAAGTGCTCCACCTTCCTGCCATAGATGGCTGCTGAGCCTTGCAAAAGAAGGGCAGCTTCCGAAAAGTTGAAGCTCAGCAACAATTCGTTGTCGTCAACAGAAAACTTTATCCCCTCGAGTTCTGCTAGGTAGGCCTCCAACTCCTTGGCCAAGTCGATGTTCCAGTTGGCAGAGAGGTCACGAATGGGCTGCAAAAGGTGTGCGAACCTGTTCTCCCTCTCCTCGGCCTGATGCTCTGCATCAGCCTCGCCATAGGACTTCGTCATCGTGCACCATAAGAACCGTCACGATTGCCCGCCGGTGGATGTGGAGGTGGGGGTGGGGGGTGGGGGGGGGGGAGACGGGAGGAGGGGTTGGTCCGGGGTGCCTCGCCTTCCTGCCTGCCCGCGGTATTCTTCGTAGAGCAGGAACAAAGCGAACGCATTCCGATTCACAGTCTGCTTTCTGAATAGGTTTGCGATCAACCCATCCTGTACGTACGCCACGCCCTGCTCAATTGCTCAGCTTGCTGAGCTTTGACTCTGTGTGTGTGTGTGTGTGTGTGTGTGTGTGTGTGTGTGTGTGTGTGCGCGTGTGTGCGTGTGTGTGTGTGTGTGGGCGTGTGTGGGCGTGTGGGCGTGTGCCAAGAATGTTGTGTGTGTGTGTGTGTGTGTGTGTGTGTGTGTGTGTGTGTGTGTGTGTGTGTCTGCGTGTGTTCGTGTGCAAGTGCACGTATGTGTGTCTCAGTTCGGTAGGCCAAGATGGTGAGATTGAGAATCGGCCGGGGGTAGTTGTCGAAAGTCACCTTCAATATAAGTGTGCCATGCTGTGAAACAGGTTTTGTCTTGTAATGTATGAATCAAGTAATCAGCATCCAACCCACTTGGCAGTTGCTGTTCGCCGGGGGAGGTGTAGAAAGTAGTGCTGTCATGTGAGCCGTAATGCTGGGCGTGCATCTTGGAGCATTTCCTGGAACGCAAAAGCCAAAGAAGAAACGGAGCAGCACGTGTCAGAACCACTTCGTAGACAGTGAAGCAAAGTCTCTCTCTCTCTCTCTCTCTCTCTCTCTCTCTCTCTCTCTCTCTCTCTCTCTCTCTCTCTCTCTCTCTCTCTCTCTCTCT